GAGAAGTACCACGCGTGGTGAACGCATGGAGAGTGCGGTGACTATATGTGCTACACGTGTAGACTGCTGTAGTACAGCAGGTATGACCTCAAAAACACATTTCAAAAATCAATAGTCTAGACTACTGCTGTATCAACTGCTTCGCTATCATTGATGCTGTCTGAAACTATGTGCACCTCCGTGATACTCAGGACACGGGTATGATTCCTACGTGCTGAGATGAGAAGCCTGTCCACAGCAGTAGCACAACCCCGACGCGCCCTGCCCGTCGCATGCAGCAACTACCGCAGAGTTCTCAAACGCACACGACTCCGACTGACCTGTGAATTTCGATCTCCTCAGGGAGCTGCAGCTCGTGCAGCAGCTCGCGGAAGTGAGGCTTCTCGAACCTAAAGAGCTCCTTAAAGTCCAAGCCTCCAATTGCATCGAAGAAATTGTACATCGGGCACACACCCTCCAGGATCGTTGGGGCTATCAGTTCTTCATACGCCTCCAGCTTTGCTAGGCCAAACATGGCCATCACGAGGAACATGTCCTCCTCTCCAGCTAGCGCACACAACACAGCAAGCAGAAGAACCAGCATGCACTCATCATACCGCTCGTAGCGGATTCTGCCTCGCGCAAGGCGCGCCACGCTCCGTGTCGGATGCGGCGATGAGGGAGCGCGACCGTTGGGTTTCCCGGCGGTGCAGCGATGCAGCTGGGGTTGAATTTTTTGGAACTTGAGGCTGCGCCGCTGCTGGCCTTCGCCAGGCAACGTGCGGCGGAATATTTTTTCGTGTCAATTTACCAACCGGTACCTATTTTCGTGTCAATTTGCCAACCGTCACTTTTTTTCGTGTCAATCTATCTCAGTCCAAAATTTTCGGGTCAATTTAACGTGGGAACCCAGGAATGACATCAAACAGACTTGCGGGAAAAAGGGGAACGTACCCAAAAATGAGAATTGGCGTTTTTCTTCATAACCATCGGGTGTATCACAGAACCAAAATTATCCTGCGAAACCCCTTCGCCCCAGCTGTGAGATGAGCTCATCAGAACCGCCATGCTCCACATCACGCCTTCTCACGGGCGCAAAAAGCGATTCGTGCTGGTTTCGACCTGATTTCTCGCGATGCTGGCTACCTCGGCGATGCCGAGGACATACAGCTTGAGCAACAGCTCATTCGAAAGCTGCTGTAAAGACCTACAGCACTGTCAACTTTTATGGGGGGAGTTGCAAAGGCGTGGTTTGCTTTCTAAAAACAAACGCCCATTCTCATTTTTGGGTACGTTCCCATTTTTCCCGCAAGTCTGTTGTCACCTCGCACCCGCCCGTTTCGTAATATTGCCGATCTCCTATGGATGAGATTTCGTGGGTGGCCGTCGCCTGTAGGTAGGTAGGCAGTACGCGGTAAATATCTCCCACCCAGAAAACAAAAGCAGACGCGTTTCAGGGCTGCAGAGAATACCCACGGCTGAACCTGCCAGGCGCTCTTTCATCGCGGAGGGGGAATCAGGTGGGCGGACTGGGCACCATGTGCACAACGTTTACTGCAGTGGCGAGGGATCGCTGGTTGCTTTCACCGCCTACAAGACTTGAAGTGACGCATTGTGGCTGCGGCATCATGCGCGCTGCCCCCCTGCCTCCTCCGGGCCCCCAAGTATTTCATGGCTCTGGATACAATAACACAGGGGCACACTCTCTCCCACATCACTCGTGTCGCTGCCGCTGAATGGCATAGTTCATTCGTTTACAAACAAATGCTCTGTGCCAGGAATTATGTAAAAATGTATTATTTGTTATAGACAGAAAAAGGTCTTCGTTGTTTACCCTTTGAACCATAGAGTTCCCTCGATATTTTTTCCTGTGAATCGCACCCGTTCAGTCACGCGCAACCGACATGATAAAGGCCGAAACCTCGCACATTACTGACAGAACTGAGCATAGACGCACAGTACACGTCGGCCGTACTTGTAACCCTACCGTAAGCCAATTACGGGTAGGGCGGGTTTGGCAGCACGCACGAATCCAAACCACGCTTTGTTTTTCCTGTGGCACGCACACACACGTTCAATCACATGTAGCAGCCATGACAAAGCCGAAATAAGTCGAAGCTGATTGACAGCATAGAGCGTAGACTCGCAGCACACGACGGCCGTAAGCTACTTAGGGTTGTGCAGCATTGTAGCTCGCACGGCGTATCTACAGCGGTAGCAGCACCCTTGATACAGCACACAGCAGTAAGCGGCAGGAATGGATTTCCTTTCGCGTTTGAACACGGCAAGAAAGTCCCGTGCGCATTCCTATCCATCGCAACGAAAGCAGGGGCAGTGGCCGCTGTCGTGTGCCCAGCACATCAATCTACAAATTTGACGCCCGCCCTGAATATATTTCTTCTTGAAGTTTGCTACTGTAGATAAGTTCTCTAGACTAATTACCTTCAGAAATGCCGCACCAAGCAAGGTCTCCGTTCGGGACGTGCTATAGTCTAGAGTAAGTCCACCCCCCTATTAGGCTGTTTCTTATAGAGCCGGATTCTTGACCTGAAAAACCTCAAAATCCCGATATGGCCAAAATCGGGATTCTTATAGACCCGGATTCTTTAGTTTTTCGGGTCAACATTTTCCAGTTTCAGAAATCCGGTCGACTTTCACCCGGATTCTGATGCAGAATCCGGGTGAAAGCCCAACCGGATTTTCTCACCCGAAAAATTCAATTCAAACGCTGGTTACGCCGCCCGGCTCACACACACACGCACACACACAGCACAGCACAGCACAATACAGCGGCTACCGCAGATGCGTGTCGCAGTGCCGGCGCTCTTAGGGCTGCTGGGCGTCGCCCGCCTCGGCTGTGCACTTGTATTGCCCGCGGGACGTGTGGTTCACCGCCAAATGGCCGAGACAGCAACCGAAAGTGGTGGTATCGATGTGCCGGCTGCCTTCGCCACCACGGCGGTAGCTACTGCCTCCCTGCAGCAGCTGCAACGTAGCGTCGCCGTCTGGGACGTTATCATGGAAGACTTCGAAGACGATCTAGAGCTGGATACAGAGGACGANCGCGCGCTGCATTTCAAAAATACATGACAGTCCAGCAAAAAATCCGCTGACTAAAATCCGGTTCCTGTAAGAAGGGTCGTACGTTTTTCCCAGCCGGATTATTGTCCGGCCGAAAAAATCGATTTTTCAGATCAAGAATCCGGTTCTGTAAGAAACAGCCTTAGGGACCACTTTTTTCAAAAAAACATATCTTGCCGGTACCATCGCGGAAAGCCTTTCTGTTTTTTTCTTCGTGTTGCTATGGACCTCACCTTTCATTTAAGCCTAAGTTTACTCGATTTGGTGGAGGACTTAGTTCTACACAGCATTCTGCGCCAGGTGATGCATGCTTTTTTTTTTTTGGTGCTGTGTGGTGGCTCCGGCTAAGCCAGGTCATAATATTGACCTACAGTCTATAATGGCAGTTTTAGTGTTTTCTTGCTCTCCATAGACCCAATCCGATGCAGGTCCGAACCTTGGGTCGTGCATTTTGTTTTTTCATCCGCTTTTTTTTTTTTTCTATTTTGCCCCCTTGATTTTCGTCCAAATGGGGGCAAAAATCGCGTCTGTATGTCAGATAGAGACTAAATCAACCCGGATGACAACAAAAATTTGCATGGTGTCTATTCTAGGCTGTCTCTTATACANGCATTTTGTTTTTTCATCCGCTTTTTTTTTTTTTCTATTTTGCCCCCTTGATTTTCGTCCAAATGGGGGCAAAAATCGCGTCTGTATGTCAGATAGAGACTAAATCAACCCGGATGACAACAAAAATTTGCATGGTGTCTATTCTAGGGGTGCTTGCCACGTTGCCGAAGAAAAACCGGGCAAAAAACACTTGAAATCTCTCTGCGTGGTGCCCAAAGTAGGCCATTTTTGGCCCACAAACAGGGAAAAAAAAAAAACACGGGGATTTCTTGTTTTGGCCCCGGGCATGCATGTTTTTTTGAATATTTTTTTCGGAAATGCCTTGTTTTACTACCATAACGATACTTGCCAAAGGAAAGTTCTGGAAATCATTAGAACGTGCACAATCACTACGAATTCGAAGTGGTCCTTAATCTTAATCGGCACATTTACTCTAGGTGTCCCACAGGTGACGCAAGACCACATGCGCATTGCCCGAAGACGGGCTGTGTATCTCATGTGTTTGTGGACAGTTTGACAACGCTCGCATGCCGTACAAAACATCGCGACTGGGGTTATTCTACATTGGAGCCAGCTCCGGGGACACCAACTTGCCAGCGAAATATCAGACTTCTTTTATGATGTCCTGTGATTGTGGCAGATTTGCAGCGAAAACCTAATTTGAATCCAAACAACACCGCAAACATAAATGTTCAACACTGAAAGAATGCGGAATGTAGGGCAAATAATTCATTGTTCATGACTAACGAATACAATCAACAGTTGAGAACGGCCCGTAGTGATCCGTATTGATTGGAATCAACCACATCAAGTCGGGGTCCCCCTTAAGTGCGGGTTATAGAGTGCTGGTGCCCGCCATTGTGCGGGTGCAATCACTTGGCACGACTTGGACCCCTCTGTAGAGCGGGTGCTGCACTATTCGGCGCACCCCTCTATATAGTGCGGATTTGGTCCCTCCCCAGACCCTCTCTAGTGCGGGTTCAGACATCACCTCCCTTACCTCTACCGCATACTGTCAGGGCGTATTTTGGTATCGCAGAGGGCTATAAGCCGTTTGGCGTAAGTAGTCTTCTCTGTGCTTTGGCAGTAGGTATTACTGGCGGATGTCTTCTCTGTGCTTTGGCTGTGGCTGCGTTTGTCATCGTGTTTCAAACAGCCTCCAAGTTTCGGTAAGACATATATGTTGGAAGAGCATCCCTTCGAAGTTTGTAATTTGTTGGTCCGACCTCAACCTTCGATCTCCACGCACAGGCAAATATCATACGTCATCCCTGAGCTGGAGTCCAATTTTTTTCTCGGTTTTATTTTTTCATCCAGGACGATAAACAGCCATGTCTGAGCCAAGGTGGTTCATGGAGTGGAAAAAAAATGGAAGGGACTCGCACTACATGGAAGGACACCACGAGTACGGGCAAATCACGACCGGGACAGGTAGTCCGTTCACGTTCGACGGCTTCCGCGTCAGGCATCTGTTCAAGGCCGATCCCAAGCTGTGGAAGATATCCCTTTCGGGTTTCCGTCGACCCTTCCGCGGCGTCGGTGATCAACCCACACACACTATTCGCAACGATCCCCACCCTCAGCGTTACATGTTCGTGGACTCCCGGCCGGACCATAACTGGACCATGTTGCAAAAGGATTTCGATTCCGGCGGCATTGCCGGTGAATTCTTCTTGGAGCACGCCGACTTGGACGATATTCGTAAACCCGAGGCCGGCGTCAGCGCTAAACGACTCATTGCCGCAGACTTCCTAGATGGAGGAGAGATGCAAGGGGGGGCAGACTACTTCATCCCCGTGTACATCATCTGCGCACTTAACGGAGGCGAGTCCTACCTCGGCCTCGACAATCACGACAACGTCATTCGCACGGGTACCCCCCACGTGTGGTACTGCATCGGTCCTGGGTCAACATAGTCCCCAGATTTACTCATATTGCCGTGGGTGGGCACGGTAGCCCCCGTGGGAAGGCAAAGGGGCCTCTAACGTGAAATTTCGCACCTTGAGTTGCCCCCACCAGGTAATCAAGAGCTCGCTCGTTGTCATCCACAAGCTGTGGCCCATACCTCTCGATCAGCACGCTACGAGGTGGACCATTGATCAAAATCACGGGGGTGTCAGATCTCTGCATTGTGTGGGCCAGATCCTCGCTGGCCATGAAAATCTAGAACAGCGGGCGGAAGACAACGAAGTTGCCGTCGTAGACAAGCGGCTTTCTCTCCGCTTGCCTCCTCTTGAACAGTAGTTATTGTGTGGGCCCTTCCGCCCATGTCTCATCTCCCGGACCTTTCTCCGATATACGCTCCCCCAGCCGCCAACCCGGCCATACTCCCAGCTGCCTTCCCAGCTGTACACTTCTCCGCAGTCCTCTCCGCTGCTGCCGCCCTCTCCGCGGCATGTTGAACATCCAAAACCGATCGTCTTTTGAAACGATTAATCGTGTTCGAGGCCCCCGTGCCTTCCCACGGGGGCTACCGTGCCCACCCACGGTAATATGAGTAGATCTGGGGACTACGTTGACCCAGGACCGATGCAGATGAATACAACCTTGATTAGAAGGCACCCATGCTCCTTCCAGCACAATACACACAGTAGTCTTTGCAAACATAGAGAACAAAGACAGAAGGTGTAGACTGAACACATGCGCGGGCGCTCGCTCGAGGGGCCTCGCACTTGGACTCCCAACAGTATACCCCCCACACAGTATACTCTCCAGATCGGGTCTTCATATCTAAGTACCTCAAACAGAGAAAGAATGATGTTGGACGAAGAATGAAAGTGGTCATAGAATTACTGATTATTGTGTTCGGAGTATCGTATCGTGACTGGGAGGCCAAGACGGTTACGCTTGCCCAACAAGCGTTTGCCTGCCGAGGATGTTGTGGCGAAGTTTCGTGTGACCGGCACAAGGAGATTTTCATGGGTGGTGGGATTGATTGCCATGGGTGGTGGGATTGAAGCTTTTAGAGGTCGATGCAGATAAGGCAAACGTTGAGAAGCCACTTCGGTTGTAGGGTGGATGTATGTTGTGGTTGGCGAAGCAGACTCGTCCCGACCGTCTCAATGCCGCGCGGGCGGTAGTAAAAGGCGTTCTCATGCGCAAATATAGCTGGTGCATTGAAGTGCAGCGTTGAAAGTACAATAGGTTCACGAGAAACTAGGGATACCATTTCAGAAGGGAACGGCAACGAGGGGTGTCTAAGGTGAACGATAGCGTGCGTAAAATCTCCAATAGGGAAACGCACAAGCTGAGAGTGGGGTCGTGGAACGTGTGCGGGTTCGCAAGGAGTGAGCGCAAGCGGTTGGAAAAAGTGGACCAAGTAGAACAAAGCGATCTAGATGTAGTGGGGATCCAAGAGACGTGGGAATTGAAGGATGGGGGCGTGGTAAGCAAACTAGGGAAACACCGGCGGGTATGGAAGGCAACAAAGGGCTTAGACCCGAAGAAAAGGGGGGAGGGGGGAGTCGGATTCCTGGTCAAGGAACACTTGTTTGACGTGGTGGAAGTAGTGGTGAAAACGGAATTCGAGGAAAGCCTATGGCTTAAGATACCTGGGGAGCGGGGTGAGAAAGATTTGTTTCTAGGGAACGTATACGTCCCACCGTCGTCGAAGAAACGTCGCAAGCAACACGCCGGAGAACTTTGGACAAATCGGGGAAGATGTCCAGAGTGTTCAGTAGGAAGGGAGAAGTTGTCGTGGTGGGCGATTTCAACTCCAGA